CCAGCAGGTGACGTCACTAAAAGCTCTTCCCCCCGCAGGTGACGTCACTAAAAGCTCTTCCACCAGCAGGTGACGTCACTAAAAGCTCCTTCCCCCGCAGGTGACGTCACTAAAAGCTCTTCCCCCCGCTGGTGACGTCACTAAAAGCTCTTCCCCCGCAGGTGACGTCACTAAAAGCTCCTCCCCCCGCAGGTGACGCTGCTCAAGATCAGCTTCAACCCGTTCGCCAAGGCCTTCAAGAAGGGCAAGGAGGCGTGCGAGGACAAGCCCAAGAAGCGGGGACGGGCCCTGGGGACGGATCAGCCCACTTATCCTTCCCCGGGGCACGTGGGGCATGTTGGTCATGGGGCCATGGCCCCGTGGCTGCCGTATCACCACCAGCACCTGCACCACCACCACCAGATGAACGTCGCGTATCCCCCCCACGGGGGGACGGAGTTCGTGTGCAGAGGGGGACCGCAGTTCCACCATCACACGCACCAGCACGTGCACGTCGCGCCCCCCTACAGGCCCAACGTCGCCATCAGCGTCAGCCATCAGTGTGAGCTGACTTGTGGCAGCCATCAGTGTGAGCTGATTAGTGGCAGCCATCAGTGTGAGCTGATTAGTGGCAGCCATCAGTGTGAGCTCACTAGTGGCAGCCATCAGTGTGAGCTGACTAGTGGCAGCCATCAGTGTGAGCTGACTAGTGGCAGCCATCAGTGTGAGCTGACTAGTGGCAGCCATCAGTGTGAGCTGACTAGTGGCAGCCATCAGTGTAGGTTGACTAGTGACAGCCATCAACGTGAACTGACTAGTAACAGCCATCAGTGTGAACTGACTAGCGACAGCTGCAGAAAATATGACAATTGAGACAATTTTTTTCTCATTTTGTACTACTCATTATTAGACTACTGTATATTTTTTCTGCCTGAGGGCAACGAATTTTAGGGAGAGGAAGGCCAAATCTGTAATTAAAACCATTTCTCACCAATAAAATTGACACAGCGACACAAAAATCAACCACTAATAAACGAACAACATTTGTGTATTGATCCCAATTATGATGAGAATAATGTTTTGATCAAAAGATTGAAGTCCTGATTGAGGTTGATCAAAGCTCACACAAATCGACAGACTCAATCGGTTAAAAAGGCCGACTGATCGTTTTGGGTCTCTTTAAGACGAATGTAGCGACTCTTGAGTAGTAGCAGCCTACGCGTTGCCCAAATTTTGTTAGAGCTCTAACAACAGCTTGTACAACTCCTCTCTCTGTGTTGCAGACATCGACGGGTGCCCTGACCCCACCCTACACCCGCAGCTGCAAGCCCCTCAAGACCTCACCCACTTCCACGACAGGAGCATAGACAGGACTCCTGACAGAAGCCTTGACAGGAACCTTGGCAGGAAGAGACAGAAGGTGCAGGCAGCAAGCACTGTTCTCCATCCCTACGACTACACCCCGCCAACCCCGGGGCAGCTGGAAGGTGCTGAGGGTGCTGAGGGTGCTGATGGTGCTGATGGTGCTGATGGTGCTGATGGTGCTGATGGTGCTGATGGTGCTGATGGTGCTGATGGTGCTGATGGTGCTGAGGGTGCTGAGGGTGGTGAGGGTGCTGAGGGTGCTGAGGGAGCTGAGGGTGCTGAGGGTGCTGAGGGAGCTGAGGGTGCTGAGGGTGCTGAGGGAGCTGAGGGTGCTGATGGTGCTGAGGGTGTTGAGGGTGCAATGGGTGCTGATGGTGCTGAGGGTGCTGAGGGTGCTGAGGGAGCTGAGGGTGCTGAAAGTGCTAATGGTGCCGAGGATGCTATGGGTGCTGATGGTGGTGAAGGTGCTCAGGGTGCTGACGGTGCTGATGGTGCTGAGGGTGTTGAGCCATAGTGTGAAAGGATTGTTAATAGGGTCATATGATTTTAAAGTATTTTACGAAGATTTTATTGATTTTTTATTGCTTCTTGAAGACGTTTGTCTCGTTTGTCATATCTTCATGCTATTATTGCCATAATAAATCATATCTTCATGCTATTATTGCCATAGTATATCTTATCGTGATGTCACCTGCGCAGGCGACTGCGGCTTCATGGCGCCGGCAGACAGGCGAGAGAACTTCAGCAACGTCTCGGCCGAGACAGGTACGAGACCTGCCAGAGACGTGTGCTAGAGACGTGTGCTGGAGACGTGTGCTGGAGACGTGTGCTAGAGACGTGTGCTAGAGACGTGTGCTAGAGACGTGTGCTAGNGTTGGCTGACGTGCAGACGCACGAGTTAATGAGTTGGCTGACGTGCAGACGCACGAGTTAATGAGTTGGCTGACGTGCAGACGCACGAGTTAATGAGTTGGCTGACGTGCAGACGCACGAGTTAATGAGTTGGCTGGATTACTGACGCACGAGTTAATGAGTTGGCTGGATTACTGACGCACGAGTTAATGAGTTGGCTGGATTACTGACGCACAAGTTAATGAGTTTGCTGACGTGCAGACGCACAAGTTAATGAGTTGGCTGACGTGCAGACGTGGCGGGTTTGGGGTCGTCGCCCTGGCATGCGGACGACGTGTACAGGACGAGGCTGTGGAGCTCCTATGACGACCCCCGAGGCGACGAAGGATGCGCCGACCCAAACGCGGAGTCCTTCAGGAACTTCAACGAAGTCCAGAGGATGAACCGCCAGGATCTTCCTGGTAATTCTTCGCTGCTTTACAGCACTCATCGTCCTGCCTGCACTCCCCAGTCTCCTGACGGGGACCCTGGGGACGGGAGCCTCATGCCGCCCCCCATCCACTCCCCACCGGTGGTCTATGCCAACCATGACATGTACCACAACCACCACGATGATCCTGCCAACCAGCCGATGGTTCAGCAGCACATGATTCACGGTCAGGAACTCTACCATCCACAGCAATACGCGCCGCAGAACCATCTGTTCCACTCGATGGCCGCTCAACCCAGCGCGCCGTGACCATCTTGTAGCACCACAACAGACGCAGCGCAGCGGGCCGGCAGATGGCGAATCTCACCACACGAGACAGCCATGTCACCACACTACCAGCTGTCCCACTGGACGCTGCACACTACCAGCTGTCCCACTGAACGCCCCACACCACCAGCTGTCCCACTGAACGCTGCACACTACCAGCTGCCCCACTGAACGCTCCATACTACCAGCTGTCCCACTGAACGCTCCACTCTACCAGCTGTCCAACTGAACGCTCCACACTACCAGCTGTACCACTGAACGCTCCACTCTACCAGCTGTACCTGACCACAGCACCGTATCCCCTCCCATCTACCATCAACAAGCAAGCTACAGCGCCATGCTTCAGCCTCCTCAACTGAAGATAAATTCACGGTAGTTCTACTGTCCCCCCGGGCCACGGTGGCCGATACGACTCACGTGTCGGAAACTGATGGACGGCGGACGATGAAGGCCCAAGTGAAGCACAGCGTGGTCTTGGCTGCAAAGTTTATAACAACTGAAGGAATGCAGTCCACAACCAGCTGTTACACCGACACCGTTCCAATAAACATCCCACAAACCAGCTGTCAATTGTATAGCACGACTAGCTGTTTCTAAAGTTTCTTCGTAATGGTTGACTATGAACCACCTGCTGCATATTAGGTCCTGAACAATCCAGTATCTATGTTAACAACTGTACAAAGTTCCACACTGGGTACGCATATATTTTATTCTTGTTTAATAGTGCTCAAATATTTAAATATTGGAAATAATGAATCGCCGTCCTCTCATCACCACACCCGTGTAAACCATTTTAGGCCTTGCAGAGTTTTCTCTCTCCTTCTCTGCCCACACACCTACAATCAACCTAGTTATACGATATACGCCATTTTCAGCTTCTGTCTTTTCCATTATCTTTCTGGTCGTTTGTTTGGTGCCACTCGTGTTTTTCCCCCAAACTTTCTTAGTGACACCGCAACAACAAAAAAATTCATTTTTAATCACTGCGGCTCCGAGGGTGGAATCTCAAATGCAGTGCCACCTCAAAAATCGAACAACTCTTCAGTACTCCCAAGTAGAGTAGAACTATATGATCGTCCTCTCACTAACGACTAGCGTAGGACTGACTACCACAGCCGCACTGGCGACTATTGTGGAACTTACGACCACCGTGGGTCTCTTACGACTAGCGTAAAACTAAATGAGACTAACGTAGAACAAAAACTACCACCGCCGCACTGATAACTACTGTAGAACTTACGACCACCGTGTAACTTACGACTAGCATAGAACTTATGACCGCCGCATCGCCATTGAAAATAAGCACCGCGACGTTGAGCAAGCGGCCGCTACTGCGACCGTCGTTCAGGGTGTTCAATATTATCTGTATAGAATATACATAAACAATAATATTGACTATTGATAATAAATTTGTAATAAAGGAATTGAATATTTCAGAGAAAACATTGTTTCTCATCCACATCCTTCGATTTATACGTATTGACCGAGCGGTTGTGATAGTAGTAATAGGGTCTACTAGCGCGTCAACTATCAAGATATTTCAAACCAGAGATTAAAAATCTACATTTTCAGCAAGGCGGAAGGTCTCAATCAGCGGCAATTTTTCGAATTATTCAACATTTGCAAAAGGCGGAAGGTCTCAAGTGCCCAGCTCGCTGTAGTCGACAAGAAAGGAGCAGCGTTAGCATCTCAGACAATTAAAGAGGGACTAGGGAAGAGCAACAGAAACAGACACAAGAGGTCGCTTATACGAGAAGTCGCTTGAGCGCACGAGAGGCAGAGAGGAGAAACAAAAGAAATCCCACTTAGGTATTTCACATCACAGCCAACCTGCCTATATAACTTACTCTTGCCTACATAGCAAATTCACCTTACAACTTTCCTGCCTACACAACTTGCTCTTGCCTACAAAGCACCACGAACTTTCCAACTGTTCTGCCTACACAACTTACTCTTGCCTACATAGCAAATTCACCTTACAACTGTCCTGCCTACATAGCTACTAGACCTTAAAACTGTCCTGACTACACAACTTATTCATGCCTAGATGCTACTTCACCAAACAACTGTCCTGCCTAAACAACTTACTCTTGCCTACATAGCTACCTGACCTACCTGACGAGCGTAGGTACGCGAGGAATGTTTATTACCGGTAATTCGTCACCCCGTCCTCAACGAGAGCTTCTTCCCACCTATGGCCCCAGGTAACGAGGATAATAAAAGACACAAAACAAGATTACACGGGATTTATAAGAACGGAATTCGTCTTAAGGTTAACACTCTCGGATGTGCAATAAAATTTAAACTGACTTTGAACAAACGATCCTCTTAAAACATACACAATCATCTACCGTCAACAACACCCTAGTCGCCGTTCCAGTTGAATCGTCAACTTCAATAAAATCGTGAAATGCTAGCCCGACGTAGATTTGTCGGTGTTAGAGCGATTCAATTAACTTATACCTGTTGACACGTTACTAGAAAGTTTGGTTTTGTAGGCAGGGTGTAATGGCGACTCGGCGATATTGACGGTAGTACGGTAGCTCACGGTCGTCTCGAGAACTCCGATCGTCCCATAAGGTTCCACTTCAGGTTGAGATTACCAATAAATTATATTAACCCAGAGATTACTGAAAATCTCTTTGTTGAGATTGCTAAGAAATTATTGGAACCATGTCCACAACATCACAGAGGCCAGCTCAGGCACCAATACTGAAAACGAACGAGTCGCCCGTTCAAAACAAAATGAAATTTCGGAAAGACAAATAAAAACAAGTAAATGCAAGGGTCGGTAAGACAAGAATAATCCACATTAACTGCTTAAATGAATGATTATGCAATCCGCGTATGGCTAAGTCATGCCAACCTGACATGTTTATATGAAATAAACAACTAGAACAGAAAATAAGTTCAAAGAAGAGCGGATGCAAGTACAGAGAACCATGCGCGTCCTCGACTAAGCCATCAACAGCAACTGATTATACGAACAAAACGTAGGCGTAAGAACTAAAATGCTTAGAACTAGTGGAGTAAAGCAGGAACGATTAAAGAAAATAGCGCAACTTTGGACGCTGTTCATGAACGATACAAACATTAATGAGATTTTCAACGTAAATTTGCAAGCGTAGTACGATAGTGAAAAGCTTAACGTAATTTGAGACTCACTCCCTCCCTAGCCAATCCTCGTGAGGCGCAGGATTGACCCAAGGAACTCCTCTTGTCTTGTCATGGTTGGGGATCTCGCCACCAAAGCCTCAGCAAAGATGAAATAAAACTACGACGTCTCAAAGTGCGACAGGAAAAAGGTACAAATGATTTCAGAACATCTTAACTAATTCATGCGCTGATATTTACATAACATTCGAGTCAGATCTCACGCGGTGAACTGCGCTGTAGCCCAGCCACGAGTATCTCAGCTCACGCCTGTGTAATATGACAGCGCATAGTGAGAGCAAATAGATCAATACTTCGAGTTACTTGAACCGAAATGCAAACAAGCGCAGGGAATGAAAGGCCGCAGCCAAAAATTTAATACAGAACTGGACTTGACAGGTTGTTAAGAACATCACACGTGATGCTCATCACCTCACACGTGACGTTCTTCGCATCACATCGTGGTGAACAAAATCATCCAAGCGAGATAATGGTTTGCTCGGATGTTGCCTATAGCTGATAGTTTATAGTACGCATTAACAGTCAATCTAATTCGCGTCAAGAGAATTGTGCGGTTCACTCGAACCATACAATTCAAAGAACTTATTAACACTCATAATCTTATTAGCGGCAAGAGGGCCGGTTCAATCGAACCATCGAACATATAACGAGTTTGAATAATTACGAAGATGTTTTACCATTAACAGACATAATCTCACTAGCGGCAAGAGCCAAGAGCACAGGTTCACTCGAACTATAAAGTTTAAAATACTGATTAACACAAATAATCTCATTAGCGGCAAGACGGACGTTTGACCGAGATTCACCAGAGTGTCAGTAGAGGCCGAGTAAACTCCCTTTATCTGCTAATCCTAACCAATTCAAATTATTATAATCGTGTACGCTAGTTGCGCTCAATACATGAGCGAACAATGAAAACAGAACTATCAGAAGTGTCTTAAATACACGGCATACTATGTTAAGAGTTTTATTGGACTTTCAGCACATGCATTTACTGTAATAGCAAGAAGATTCATGAGGAAACATGTTCGAGTATTGGAGCAGACGCATGAGAATCGTGGTCCACGGTGCAGGCCCGAGATGAACGGCACGATGCAGGCACAGCAATGCCCCCAACACCAGAGAGGAGACAAGGAGTCTAGGCGTTGGGATAGTTGGGGTTGTAGGCGGACTGCTTCTCAGCGTATGGGGGTGGTTGATCTGCAGAAAAGAATTCCCGTCAGAACAAAATACAATGTTGAAATTAAATAAGCATGTGGAGAATTTATATGAAAAGATATAATCTGCCAGAGGAGGCTTCTGAGAATCAGAATAAAGTAGACTTTGACTAACGACTGGCCAAATGCTCATGCAATGCAGTCCCGAACAACATAGTTCCCTCCAAACGCTTGTACTCGAACCGGTCCTCAATGAAATGAATGCAACTGCTTTCAATAAATTTGGACATAAGAGGTACGAATAAGGCGCTCGGAGTTTCAGTAAGAAGAGTGCACACTAAACTTTGATCCAACCATCGGGCCAACATATGACAGCCACACCATCATTATCATGGTCAGGGTCCAGCAGGGATCTATGGATAATTTAAACGGCCCGTCACGTGAGGTGTGGATCACCTTGTGTCGGCCAAAGGTAGGGGATATCTGTTCATCAAGGGACGTCATTTCAGTATCAATAGAAACGTGAAGAAGAGAGTTTTGCGTTCGTATTCAAACGGATCATTCTGGTAATAAAACAGACTTTTCCGGAATCATAACAACGTTAGCCATCATCGTCGTTTTTCACACGATAATGAATTTGCTGAATGGTTCTTAGAGACCCGGGACTGCAAAACATGTTATATCATATGCCTGAAGGATAAGGTTCTATTTCTTGATGCTTCTGTTCAATGTTTCAGAGCTCTGTACTGTACTGTTCGATGATCTCGTGCAGTTCAGGGCCTCATAGTTACAGTCCGTTCAAAGTTATTGCCTTCAAACTTCGAAACAAGACCATGACTTTGAACATTATAATGATTCCGATAACGTCTGTTTCAATGATATAAAAGCCCTTTTCAATACAAACACGATGCTAGATCGTTCACGCCCCGTTGCTGCTGAAATGGCCTCTCTTGAAGGCAGACACCTTCACTCTTTACCACCAAGATGGTAAAGAGTGAAGCCCGGAGCTGGCAGCACCCAGGCTCCGGGCAGGGATAACATCAGTCGCACAGCTTTGGTCTGAGCCCGGTTCGAGTGACGGCGTGACCAGGACTCGGGGAACATCAACATCAAACACAACAACAACAACCCCAAGGTGATCTCCAGCTCATGTGACTTACCGTTCAATTTATTCAGACTTACCCTTCTTGACGCTATAAAGAGTAGACACTAAACACACACAAAAAAATATTTTCTTACAATCCCGTAATCGGCTCATACATCGTCTTGCCATACACGAATGAAACTAATTGTTGAATAGAAAGCAATAGGAAAGTCACAGACACCAAAAATATAGAGAGCCAAGAAAAATTATTGTATGTTACACAGCAGTATGTTCATTCAAGTGCTTTCATCCATCAATAAATGAAGCTTGCTAAACGAATTTATGATTGAAAATCTCTCGACTCCGTACACAAATACAACTTTTGGCCACTCACAAAGCAAAATAATTTTGCCGCACCTACATGCATTACATGGGTAACTGCGCCAAAGTGACATTGAGACTCTAAAGCACCGAAATAAAAGTAAAGATTTTTCCTGAAATTGCTCACCAGGATAGCCGGGCGTTGTGGGAGGATATGGCTGCTGAGGGTACGGCTGTTGAGGATAGGGCTGTTGAGGGTAGGGCTGCTGTGGGTACGGTTGTTGAGGATACGGCTGCTGAGGCTGGATGTAAGGTTGTGGCTGAGAATATGGCTGCAGAGGCTGAGCAGCTTGTTGTGGAGGTACAGTCACGGTCACCTCAGTGGCACCTGTAATCAATACAATATACTTTTTCTTGATGCTGCGGAACGGACAGTAAGACAATCGTGGACAAATGGACTGTTTCTCCACATTAAATGTTTTTTCATTTCAAAAATAAATGACAAAACTATTCACGGTGAACAGTGAGCAATGACGTATCAATCACGTGCAATTTACAGGCTGACTATATTCCTCATAATAATAGGTATTAATTTTGCGTCGAGTGTTCTTAGTTTTGTCTTCTATTGCTAGTTGCTAGCAATATTTTCTAGTAAATGATTACCTAATATCAGAATAAAAAGACATTATTCTTGAGCATATCAACTGCTCCTTTCCAGACTTTGATAGAGTTTGAATAATTTCTGGGATAATACAGTGCGGCATTAATGCAACATTATTACTCATTCAATAATTTATATTACAGTCAGGGCCGTCTGCGTTTGGAATGAAAAATACACACATGTAAGCTTTAGCAAAAATTTAAAATAAAAGAGAATAGCAAGCTCAATTAAGTTATATTTTAATTCACAAGGCGTTTCCTAAGCTTTGGAATTCTTGATGTCAGCTTCATGTTGTTGATGATGAGCACCAATTTGGCTACAACTTTGATTGTTAGTTCATCTCTTCTGCTTGACTGGATGAAGGAATTCTGGCTGTGAGAATTTGAAACTGATGCCTCTGTTGGTGGCAATGATACGATTCAGGAGGCTTCTTTGCTCAATTACAGTGATTTACAAATGCTAGTTCATCAGCTTGCTGGTAAAGTTTTATGCTCATAAACATACCAAAAATACACCATGATTTCGGAACAATTACTTATGTACAACAATCATCTTCAATCTCCTGATTGTGATAGAGAATCTATCGCTTCTCCGATTTTCTCCAAGATCCAGCTTTCTTTTTTCTTCTCTGAGATCCAGCTTTTCCTAATGTGTGGGTGGCACTTTCTGCTTAGGATTTTCAAGTTTTTTTTACAATGAAACTGAAAATTGTCTCAATCAAAAATAGAGTGACTTTCGATTTTCTTAAATTATACCTACAGGTCTCATCGTCTAATCTAGTTTTCATCTTCTTTTGCAAAAGTTGTTGGATAAGCAAAAAGCTGCAAGACTTTAGGGAGTCTACTAACTCTTCTCCAGAAGATCCATGAAAGAAGTTTATTTACTACTTTACTAGTGACTGGAGGTAACATGCCTCATATGACAGCATTGTAACGGGAGGTAACATGCCTCATATTACAGCATAGTAACTGGAGGTAATATGCCTCATATAACAGCATTGTAACTGGAGGTAACATGCCTCATATGACAGCATAGTAACTGGAGGTAACCTTCAAGTGAGAGTATAGTGACTGGAAATAACACTTGAGTAACACACCTCTAGTGTGTTACTCTAGTAACAAATAACACTTGAGTAACACACCTCTAGTCACATATCCTCGGTTGCGGCGCTTTGCGATGAGGCAGAATGGGCAGCAGCAGCAGCAGATGATGCACACCAGCACCACAACCACCACCACTCCAGCCAAGATCCCCAGCAGTCGGGGCAGGCTGCAACATAGTAAACTTATTATCTTCCTTTAAATTCATTTAAACAATGACCTCAATTTCCACTGTAATTCTAGGAAGAAGGACGAACTGCAACACAAATGAGAGGTGTAGTCAAGGGCTGCAGAGAGCTCCAGCCCCTAATGATCTTAGCTGAGGACCTGTCAATGTGTATACACATGAGCTCCAAAACCATTATATTGCACAAGCTTCATGGATTCCAAAATGTGAAATTAAAGCAGTCATGTTCATGGAAAATGGACCAGAATAGGTGCATACCTCATTGAACAGTGGCAATGACATCAATTAAGATTTAAGAACATGAATGAAAGCCACAAACTTAAATCGTGATAAGAATATTGACTTATGACAAGGATCTGCATGAAGTAGATTGGTGTTAACAGTGAGCAATGTGTGGTTTAAACATGCAATTGTAATTAAAGCATGAAATTGAGCAGGTCAAACAAAACAAAAGCACTGATGTTCATTCCTCAGTAAATGAATAATTGGACACGTATACATCAACAAAGACAGGGACCACACATATTATATGAATCCCTTTAAATACACCTAAGGCTCAGAATTAAAGCTGGTGTTGTTCAGAATGAATTGGAATAGTGGGAGTTCCATAATATTGTTGTTATTATAGGATTGTTATAAGGGAATGCAGTTTCAAAGACCAAGTCACTCACACTATCAATCCAGGTGATCTGTAAACAACAAATTGAAAACCCATAACCTTGCAGGATAAGGTTGAGGGGCAAAAAATGAATTGCAGTTACCAGGACTTAATGGACTGCAGAAGAGAACTAAGTCAACCAAGGTGTCATAAGTTGCAGAAATGAGAATCCTAGTGCCTAAGGTTATTGATTGCAAGCCATGAGAATATGCGCAAATGTTAAAGAACATTTAAAACTCAACATTAGAGGAGAAAATCACTGCAGTAGCAAGAAATTTACTGGCAGTCACAAGAGTGTAACATCTGAGACTTTATAGTACAGACATAAGCACAGCAACCAGAGCATTACAGAGCCCAGGAAAGAGCTACAGCAAGTAGGTGCAGCTCTAAACTTCAGATATTTAGGACACTAACAGGTTAAGTTGAGCAGCTATAGAGGGGCTAAGTTTGCATTTCAATGCATGGGCAACAATTCAGTTAACTCTACTCACTTGTTTTGAGTTTGCTTCTCTATCACCTGATTGACTTTATCTTTAGCTTTGTCTTTAACTTTTTGTTTGACTTTGTCTTTGACTTTCTTGACTCCATCAGAGATTATCCCTTCATTTTCATCATGTTTTTGTGAAGTCACTGGTGTCTCTAACACAACAGTGCCAGCACTCTGTGACGTCTGGCGTGCAGACCGCAATAAGAGTCCTGCACCAGGGATCCTGTACACCTCAGTTCTGCAATGCACGTTAAAGGCTGTATTCAATACTTGCGCTCTGATCATAACCATAACAAAACATTGGGAGCTGCAAAGGCTTTAAAAATTATTGGGATGAAGCCAGCCAAGTTCATGTGCAAAGCACCACCTCAAATATTCAATTTTCTACAATGGGCTATTAAATTAAGACATCAGGCATTTGTTGCTCTTCAGACAAAACCAGCAGCCCAAGCAATTCATCCTATTTCTACTGTCATAGAAACTTTCTTTTCCAATTGAGTGACTGCAGGGTAAATTTTCTCTATTGAGCCAGGCAAATTATTACATAAAACTGATAAAATAACCAAGCCAATTATAGCGTACAACAAAAATACAATGACAACAACCAGCAAACAAACTGACATTACCAGTTCTCTTACACCACTGAGAGCCACAACAGCTATGTTAATTACTAAAACAGACTTAAAACAAAGCCAAATGAACAGTGAGAGGTAGTTGACTACTACAATCATGCATAGTTGACTTCTGGTATGCACATCATCTCACATACAAAAAATTCAATACTACAGCACTTATGCAGACAAAAACAAAAATAACTGTGGATGAACACTGATTGTACACTAGAAAGTTTTCCCTATAAGTATGCACATTAAATTTGGGGACAGGATGAGGCGGACAGAGCAATAATTTTTAGAGGATGGTAACAAATGAATAAGAAGAGGATGTAACAAATGAAAAAATAGCAAGGAAAAGCACTACAAAAAGCTACTGCCACAAACAAAACTATGAAAACAAATGCCAAGTGAAGTGAAGAAGAGGAGAGCAAAAACAGCAAAATTAAAAGAGGAGGACAACAGCCAGATATGAGACATGAAGGACAACTCACAAGCCAAGGAATGAATGTGAAGTTTGGAACTTTCGTCGTGGTAAAGCTTGCAGCTCAAGCCCACCCTCATCAGGCCTGCTCAAGCCAACCACCTCAGCACGCCAGGTTACTTCAAGCTACTACTAAGCCGCTCTCACATTGCATAGTACTTATTAAGAACTGTGCTCTATATTAAAAGTAGTTCAGCAAATTTGTATAGTAAGAAGGGCCAGTTACAGGTTGGAATCTAGCAAAGGTTAGAAGTAGAGAAGAAAGGTAAGGATCTAGATTAATGATTAATGATTAACTTTTCAGAATACAATTTGAGGGAGCTGAATTATATAACGTTGTACTGAAGAAGTGCAGCACAGCAAATTTGAGGACCAAAGAAGTAATATCAACTTGATGGCTGAACTTAGCAAGACAGTTCATATTTTGACCATTTGCCAGCAGCAAGAATATTAGCACTGCTATAAATGAAGCCTCAACCAACAGCAAGCATTGCAACACTGTACATGATCATCAAGAAATAAGAAATGTAAGGAATTCAAATGAATAGGCCTGTAAATCCCTCAGGTTAAACATAGGGTATACAGAAATGCAGTCAATTGTCACCAACAAATATGAGCAATTCAAGACCTAAGTGCAAGGGTGAGAAGCATCTTTGTGATGGTCAACTCATGGAACTATTTCTTATGGACATCTAAGATAAGGATGAAACGGTTTCATGTCCTTCATGATATGGAGTCTATTATGGAAGCAGGATTATATAACACACGTGGCCAAAATATTAATTACACAATTCAAGGAAAAGTATCTTGGGTAATGGAAAAGACATGGGCATTTGAGAATTTTGTCTACCCCAAAAAAAAAATAATAATAATAAAGAGGCGAGAAAGCGATACCTGTCTACAAAAGAAGATATTAGAAAAAATAAGAAAAAATTCAAATCTCAGAAAATGAATGAAAGCCCAGATAAAAAATAACTGAATGAATAATAGTTAATGGAGAGAGGGAGGCAAAAGAAAACTGAACAACAGTTGCCCCAATATGAATATGATCTTCATTTAGAATAATAGCCAATATTCCAACCTGCCCAGGGGAATCTGGAGTAAAGGTTTCAGGTAGTACTGTACTTCAGTAAAGGCTACAGCAGTAGATTTGTGTTTCCTTTTCTCCATTATTCAAATGTTAATATTTGCAAATAGTAAGGATAATGATAACAGAAACATTGAACAAAAGTTATCAACCAGATAAAGCTTTATAAAAAACTGCTTGAAAAGAATAAGCTTACCTTTCCAATATGGAGTTCACAGTTTCTTGGTCAATTTCAAATGGAATTGGGCAGCAGTAGCGGTTCTCTTCCGAGCCACAGCAGAAGGTATAATCTGAAGGCTGTCCAGCTTGTGGGCAGTTGATGTGGGTGGTGATGCCGAAAATTCCTTCTTTCTTGCACGTCATTGCAGTAGCTTTGTGAAAAAAGGAAAATGCAAAATTTTGATAGGTCCACAAGTGAAGGATTTCTCCCCAGTCAGACAAGAAAATAACAAATGTCTTGCCATCAGCACAAGCAACACATGCACAGCAGATAGTTTGTACTCCAGTCTGCAGACTACTCACATCTTTCCAATCATTGATGGTATTATTGAAGCCAGACTACTCACATCTTTCAAATCATCGATGGTATTATTGAAGCCAGACTACAGCTCCCACACCCCGCACCTCACAAGCAGCACCTCCCACACCCCGCACCTCACAAGCAGCACCTCCCACACCCCGCACCTCACAAGCAGCACCTCCCACACCCCGCGTCTCACAAGCAGCACCTCCCACACCCCGCACCTCACAAGCAGCACCTCCCACACCCCGCACCTCACAAGCAGCACCTCCCACACCCCGCACCTCACAAGCAGCACCTCCCACACCCTCAGGCAGGTCAGCCTCCAGTTTCTGCTCATTCTCAACGCCTTCGCTTCATTCAATCGTCGCACACTTTTCTGTAACTGTCACCGTTTAGCATGGCTGCCAAAGGCCGCACTATCCACCTCTAATATTATAGTTTAATTTCAATTTAGTTTAATTTTAAAACTCTATATTATTTAATGCAGTAATTCATATTTGCTTAATCGTCTCTGCTTGACGTGACTCACCGAGAGCGACACATTACAGATAAAAATAGACGAATTAATCCAACTAAGTCCAACACACCATCTTAATCTTGAGCGAAACTAACAAACGACAAAGCGAGTAAATATACAGCATGAAAATTGTTATTAATTTTCTTCATTAAATGTGCCCAAATAAATAACGCAAATAGTGAAACTAACACATTCATACATTTTCATTCCTCCGTGCAAAACTTTTCTCGCCCGCTCCATCTAACACAAATGTAACCCCAAAAACCTCTCAGTAAGCTGTCAGGGATAGGAATAATTACTATTTAACTATCGAAGTATTGAAATGATTAGGGAAATAATATTTATTGTATACATTGCTTATCATCCGAAATTTTAAATTGTCATTTTAGTTTAGAGTTTACTGAAGACAAGAGCGGAACGTCGAGGTGCATGACTGCATGTTACTGATGTTAGGATTATTGTTGCATGGAAAACAGGAGTGAAGACATACATGTGCTTGCGTTAGGATGTCAGTTTGTAAATACATAAGAGATGAAATGTGATAATGAATAGATTTTGGAATATTTAGGCCATATATGTATGTTAATGTTTGTTTACTATTAGTTATTTATCGATTTTTATTTGGTGCTTTTAGGAAAGCCTCAAATGCCGAAACTGAATCTCAAATGTCAAGATTCATATCTTGAAGCCAAGAAGAACCTCAAGAGGAAAGCATGAAACGAAGAGTAACGTTTATGAGTGATTATTCATTGTTAAAAGCTTACAACACGTTGATAATTTGTTAACCTGAAACTGCGAGGCAACAAAGTGTACTAATTATCGTTCATTAGTGACTAAACTTATACGATCGTGTAGGCTAGTGGGTGGTTCAGAGAACCCCAATAAAGCCAAATAATGCGCACAGCGCCTTTTTCAGCTATTCCCGTCCTTTTCCTTTCGCCTCTCTCTTTCTGCCTATCTACGCCACCTAATGTACTTTCCTCATTCTTTCCTATAGTGACACAGCACCACCACGCTCATCTACACAATGAACTTGAAACTAATTTCTAATGTTTTGATTGATCGTAACACGGCTAGGATGGTGAGCGGGAGCGAGCGTTCCGTCACTTGTCAGATCGCTGGTTAGTTAATTAACTATGTTGGCTATACCAACGCACATCACTGGTTTGTGAAATGACGCGACTATTGCGTGCGACGTCGAGCCTGAAATGCATGAGACGTCGAGCCTTTATTTCGTGAGACGTCGAGCCTTTATTTCGTGAGACGTCGAGCCTTTTTTGCGCGAGACGTCGAGCCTGTAATGCGTGAAGTGCGGTCGATGTCTCGTTATAAGCAAACTATTGTTAGTGTCTTTGTGTCTGTTGGACTGTTGCTTGTCATCTGTACCTATACGCACAGCCGTCTCTTTGACATGCTGACACTGCTTTGTTTGAGTCAATTTTACCGGGATGGAGACCTTCCGCCTTGCTTCCTAGGTTGACAATTGACCTGCAGCGCGAATTTGCTTGCAATTTGAACCGTTAGCAAACCATCCTACTACTACTGCTACTACTACAATTCTAAACTTGCGTTTATTTTGCAGTTTCATTGTCGACCTTATATTAGCTAGAATCTTCCTGCCAATTTACAATTTTGGCGTCCTCTCCGTCCACTCGCTGCAAACAGCGGCGTCCACCGTCCGATTAGATGGGGCCTTGGTGTCTTTTGGGCAGAATAACGGTGTCCTCGACCTATGTTGTGCCATACTCTACAGACTGGGGAGCGAGATTAAATATCAGAGAAAATTTAACCCTTACAAATAAATCAGTGTATAATTCTAGAGGAATTCCAAGAATGAGACTGTGGTAACAGTAATACCACAGTCTATCCATAATTGAACATTAGTATCATCCATTGTTTGATTTGTTTCAATTATAGTCAACAAAAAAATGCAAGTTTTCATGGAGTTTTCCTGTGCAAATAGAAGTTTGTAGTACAAGGCTGTGTAACACTGTAACTATCCTTCCTCATTTCCCCCGCCCCCGGGGGCCGGGCCTGGGCAATGACACTAATAACCATTTGCCATCATCAATTACTGAATATAACGGAAATGAATACCACTATGGCATGGCCTGCACCGCAGCACCAGTGACCAGTCAATTATGTCTATGACTAGGTAGCTAGTAGTAGTAGGTATCATAAGGTATGGCAGCACAAGCACCCAGATCGCGGCAATAAAATAACTGTTCTCAGAGACTCAGATTATCAATCATACTATTAATCATAGTGGAAGCACTGTTTTACTTATTTAGATACATACCTGAATGAATGCTTCCAAAGAGAAATAACCCTAATATAGTGTTAGAAATCATTTTGAAATTCAAAGGTAGGCTATAGCTTATAGCAAACTGAATTATAACTACTGCACTGAACGTCCTCACACTCCGATCAATCTCAACTAAGTCCCCGACTCGTATTGGTCATGAATGATGTCACTTCCTATACGATTTCTGAACCAACTTAGTCACCTGAACGAAATAAGGAAAATCCCTGAATGATTACCCTAAAGATATATGGCATTATTTCATTCATATGACCTCTGCTTCATTAAAAATAATTCATGCATCACGAATTTCAGACTATTTCAACAATAATTAGTCCATTTCCAATAAAATGTACTGATTTAATGCACATCTGAACACCATAAATTGCGGTACTTCCGTCAACTTTTTTACCCTGTCATAAAACTTCACCTAAATTACGGAAGAGACCTTAAAAAATGTTTTCGTGTTACCCTCTTGCATGTTTTTAGTCACGGCTCACGTTAACTCTTTAGCGTAGTTTTGATATCGTTGTCTTCGTTATCGAAACGTTGACAGAGAATAATGAGAATTGCTGCTCTGTGATAAATAATTTTGTCGTAATTTCGACGCCAAACTTTCAAGCCTCAAAATGTGTCAGTCAAAACCTTGACGTGCCGTAATTCGCGGTGCATACGAATTTCTACCTTTATAACCATATGTCATATTCGTAATGACACGTATGACGGTTCGGTTTCGGTATGAGTTATGATATGACCGTATTAAATTTTTTTCTGACCGCGTGCAATACCTATTGTTAATTTGATAGCAACATATGTAATTCTTGAACGATGTGACAGAGATGAAGCGACCCCGTCGCGCCGTCTGAATAGGAATTGATGATCAGCTAATAGAGTAAATGAGTACCTAATAGTTTCGCAGAGAGGCACTGAGGCAGTGGCAGAGGCACACCTATGAATACCACTTATACCAGCACAACATGCGCATCTGCATTATTAAACGACTTGCACTACTAGATTTGCAAGCTTCTTCCAGTCACAGATTTTCCTGCAGGTCATTCCTTCTGGGCTTGATAAATTTACCTGCTATTAGTTTTGTGCTACATGACATCACTTAGACACTTACCTCTATTCTCTTGAGTTTTATTTAAGGTCAGGTGTCAAAGTCAAATGTGGCCTAAAACGTCAGGTTGTGGTAATGGTAAATATCGACCAATTTGCAGAACACTTAACTGAGGAGTAATCTGTAATGCGCTTGCATTTAAACTATTTTTGTCTTAAATTTCATTTCAGCATCATTTTATGAAAGGGTCTGACAAAATTAAATATAGATTTGTTTAATAATCATGATAACTTTAATAAAACTAATGGCAAGATGGCCATTGGCATTAAAGTTTTTGTTTCCTCTCAAAATTGTCAGAGTAAGTATTAAACTTGCCTCAAAGCGATACCTGTACGGCTGTATGGCTGTACCTAGGTTGTAATTGTATGCAGTTAGAGTTAGGTGCACATGTCTGACAGTCTGAGTCTGAAATATAGGAAAATTACTTATTATATTCAACATAGAGTCAATACCTAATCACTCACTCACTCAATCCAAATGTACAAACTGAGTAACAATAAACTGGTCAAATTTTTTATTTTAGACCTTTGATTTAGTGTGAAATCAACCCTTTTGTGCTCTTCAGAATTCCACTTCCACCATGCGATTAAGCTGCCATGACAGTGATAAGACATTAACTTATACCTGAGTGCATGAATGATGACTGTCAATGGTAATTTTGTTTTAAAATTGATTGAGGGAGTAAAATATTATCTTCCTTGTGATATTAATTTTATTCATAATCCACTTGTTGCATGTGTATTTGAATATTTTCAGTGATTAGCTCATTAATTAGCTGTTATATATTTACTCATGTATTTTTTATGTTATTTGTGGATTTTTATGGATGTTGTTGATGGAGAACTTTAATTTTTAGGTGGTGCAGCAACACAAGTAAACTTAGAGCAGAGTTTCTACTCCTGGAAGCTCACTTCAATGCTCAGCTGGAGAGAAGCAAGCTGTCTGAAGCTGAGTGGGAGATACACTGTGCTCATGCTGAAGCCATTAAGAAGAGGCACTTCACTTATGATGACCCAGTCACTCACCACAAAGTCATGACCCGACTCTGCCACTTTCTCAGAGGCAAATGCTGTGGCAATGCCTGCAGACATGTGAGCTCCTGTTGCATAATTCTGCAGTTATTTCCTCATCCACTGTTGTAAAAATTTTTAATTTGTGTAAAATGCTTATACTGGTGCTCTTAATTTAATAAGAGCTAGAGCAATAAGCATGAATATCATGTCATTTGCATACGACAAAATAATTATTATCTTGCAGACAGAATGAAATAATTTTTATAAACTATTCAGTTAAATGAGCCACTTTGAATGGTTGAAACTATAACCTTTAAATTTTTATTGTTTTATTCTTCCTTGTGATTCATTTTCTTTGGTGTAGTCAACTCCCATGGTTTTTAGGAGTTGTTATATCATATTTGTGACCGGATTATTTTTCTTTTTCATGAAATTTAAAAATCGTTGTGGCAGTGTGTGTACCAGCACGAGAATGTTGCCAAAACACACCCGCAAAGAATGGCTTTCAACTCATCGTTCTGGGTTGAAGTCGGAAGCCGCGCGCCGACCGAGCCGAGCGTCAGAGCCTCCGTGTGTGGGTGGACGTTGCTGAGCGACATGCACGCGACCAGTGTGGTGGACGACCCGCTTCTCTTCAAGCATTGAGCTCATCTCTATTGCAATCTTCTCTTGATTACCTCAAAATAATTTTGAAGAATATATTATAGTTCGACATGGATGGTTCCTAGAATGACTGCTGCCTCATAAGTTTCCACATAAAAGACAGGATTCTAAAGGACAAGAAGCAAGGCATTGAATCGAAAGTTTGACGCACTGATAACTGAGCGCCATTAAAACACAATGAATTCACGAGATACTAGATTCAGATTGTCCGTAGCCATAATATCGGAGAACTAGTAAATACATTGATTACTTACCTGTATGCTAGAGTTATTCAAACACATGTGCATCAGTACTGTTGATCATTGATCTTTTCATCCTTTTAGTACTTGTGAGATGATCATTGTTACTAAATGGCGATTGGTGACCTAACGCTAAATTCGATGCTACAATTTACTGCATTATTATGACGTTTTATTTCCTAGTCTTTTTATCTTATTGTTATTACCTAGAATGATTATTGTTGCTATTGATTTATTTAAAACATTGGCATCAGATTTAGTATGTCACTCAATTTTCTCGTGTGAGTTCACAATTAAAGATTTCGGCGAAATTAAGCCAAATTTGCTGCGAAGTACTTCTGGATCTAATGAAAATTCACATTTCTATACTCCTGCTCGCAAGGGCTTCATCTTTTTACGTTAAATTTCACAACGGCTTCAGGATTCTCTTAACATAAAACTTAACAGTTGTATGATCGAAATAAATACTGTTCGTGTTAATTCAACATTTTCTTGCAAATTTCTATTTTTCGGCAGCTTTATTTGATTTTTCGGTCTAGTTGAATTTTTTTTTCGGCTTCCTGGGATTAATGTTCCAAGCCCCTTCAATATATATTTACCTGCTTCGGCGGTACATATACTAAAATTGGAACGATACAGAGAAGATTAGCATGGCCCCTGCGCAAGGATGACGCGCAAAATCGTGAAGCGTTCCACATTTAAATGTAAAGTTATCCACCTTGGCAAGAATAATGAACAGCAAGATGAGACACTACAGTATGAGAAGACACGGTTGCAACGACAGAGTGATGATGTCGAAGTCGACAATGGAAAAGGATTTAGGAGTTAATATCGACAATGAGTTGAAATTTTCTAAGCATATTGAAGGTCAAGTTAATAAAGCCAATAATCGACTTGGACTGATCAGACGCTCATTCAAGTTCTTAGATGCAGAAGCGATGAAGCAGTTGTTTTTGCTGTCGTGCGCCCGAACCTAGAGTTTGGAAACGTCGTGTGGTCACCGAAATTTGAAAAGGACAAAAATTTAGTAGAGAGTGTTCAAAGACCGCAACAAGGATAGTTCCGGGCTTGAAAGGCAAGTCTTATGAGGAAAGATTAAAGATTATGAAGCTTCCAAGCCTCAATTATCGACGTCTGCGTGGGGACCTCATTGAAGCATACAAGTATACTCATGGCTTATACAAGGTCCCAGAAAAAACAGACTACACGAAGCTATGCAGGAGCATATGTTCAGTCTTAAAATGCCCAGCAAATTACGGACCAGGCAATAAGTCCAGCAGCTATCTCAATCAATCGTCATTTATGGAAAGATCGGGTTCCAAAGGCCGGATCCCTTGTGAATCAAGTCACGAAAAGTTCAAGAATCGGCAACAGGCCATGGACCTATTTCTCCAATGCCGACACTTCTATTCTATTCTTATTCATTTTCAAGCGATATTCGAAATTTTACTATTCATAAAATTGTCTTGTAAATAAAAAGCAAATGTAAATGTTATTCTCTTTTCATTCTATGTTTACACCTGGTTTAGAATTTACCACGGTTTGCCAACAGTCCCACGATAATTTATTTCAATTTGAAGTTCCATATTGTTAGAGACTTTGCTGAGGATGTAACTTGAATTTGTCTGTAAAGTTGTCAGTGTCACGCCACTCGATCGTTGGCCGTGGCCCGTGGTAGTAGGATGAGTGAGGTGTTATCTAATTATCAGTACATTTTGAAGCTACAAATATTGACCTGAGTTGAACTACGGCTGGGGAAGGTGGCCTAGTAAGTGTTGGAAGGCACCGCATTTATGCGAGGGACTACTCGCAGTGCGCTGAGGTTAGTGATATTTTTGTCTAATTTCGAGTTTCTGTGCATCGCTAATTTCAGCCGCAGCCTCTGAATTTTGCTCCACTTTGCCAACAAGATATTAATCAAAATTGCGGAATTTATGCGGTAAATTATGTTCCAAATTTTTCTTGGAAATGCTGCAACAGCGGGGCTCCAGTCCAGGTTTCGCATTCATGTGGTGTAAGTGAAGGGATTTACAAGCGCCATCTGAATTGTTAACATATCAAGCTGATTGAACGCAAGTATCGACTGAATAAGAATATAATTCTTATTTTGAGAAATATATTAAATCCCTTTCGAACATTTCAGAGTCTTGTATGATATTAGGCTCTGATGAAGCGAGGTTTGGGAGAGCTACCTCGTTTACTAACGTTGTTGAAATAGTTAAGGTTAATCGAATGCAAACGTGAGATTAATTAAATGCAATTGTTTGCTCAAGTTACGGAGTTAGATGCTGCTAATCGTGTGATAGCGTTTGGGTTTAGGTAAGGCTAACCGTGAACTAACGTTGGGTTAGGTTTAGCTAACATTGTGCCATACGTTGTGGGCTAGGGGTGACTAATCGTGTGTTTTTCTTGTGCAGTTTGTTAGACATGGCCAATCATGTGCTAATGTTGTGCGGTTAGGTATGGCTAATTGTGTGCTATCGTTGTAGGTTTGGGTATAGCTAATCGTGTGCTAACGTTGTGGGTTTGTGTATGGCTTATCGTGTGCTAACGTTTTGTCAGTGTTTTGAGGATGGGAGAGGACTATAGGACCAGTGGTATGTTATGTATGTTATTGGGCTGGTGATGATTGAACGTGCGTCACGAGCATGGTAGTAGGTGGTGCTAAGCTTGTATTGAATGTGTGCACAGTTAGTTGGCATTGCATAGCAGGTTCACACTCAAACAATCGAGTGAGTGAGACTTGGTAGATGCACTTTCAGACTTTGTGTGGGCCATCCTACCCAAATTTTGCTCAGCGTATACATGGGTTATCTATGTTATGGGCGGAAAGTGCCACTATTTGGAAAATACAGTGTTGGGGACTAATAAAAAAAAAAGCATTCTCTGACCCCGAACACTTGGCCAATGATCGCGGTCCCTAACAACCGTGCATTCATTCTTATCATGATCATGAGCAATAGATCCTGAATTTGCTTAACTCTCATATTATCTGCCATAATGAATTGCTTTGCATTTACACTGCGCAGTCAATTGAAAATGTTGTATGGTTTACTGCGCCGAATTAGTCGTTCGGAGCTCGAGCACTTAGATTTTGACTATACTATAGTATAGAAAAATTCCGGCGTTGATAAGTATATATCTGTTTTCCAAGTTGAAGATTTTGTCGATCGTCTAGCCTCTACCCTTCTAGGCCTATACACAACCGCGCAACTTAGTCGTTGGTCCCACATATGTCATACTCTGCGTGGAACGTTAGACGTTCGTGCAATTTTGAAAATGTGGTTGTAAAGAATGGATCAATAAAATTTATTGCGGAGATTTTTATTCGTTTGATTTTAAGCTATCAATAGTTGCGTAACCTAACTACTCGAGGATTTGTTGAAAACGGAACTTCATTTCTAGATTCTTTTTATTGCTCAACATTTGCTCGTTCGTGGGTAAAATTTGTTTCGGCTCGGTGAAATGCTTCAAAATTTCATGAATAAACAGGCTACTATAGATTGGACTTCAAGAGCTGACGGGCATAATAGCGGCAAACTGAACGACAGTTATAGTCTCGCTATAAAGTAGAAACCACTTGCGTTTCTACTATGAATATCAAACTAAGTTTCATCATAATACCAATGCCATACGCGGGAAGTTGACTAAATGCATTTATCGGCACATTAACTGGAGGCATTTGAGTGACATTTCTGCGAGAAATGAATGGCCTTAGTGAGTCAGGTCGTTGCCTCAACGCCTTCAACCGACCGCCGACGCCTTCACATCCTGCTGTTGATTTGAGCTGCTTGCGGTCATGCGCTATCTCCCGAGTTGTTTACTGGTACTGATAGTCATGTGTACGCATTTTTGCGCAAATGTATTCCAAGAGGTGCACAAACTTGATTAAAATTTTAAAAAGAAATTCAGCTTGCCTTGTGAGAGGCACTTGGTTAGCACAAATACAGTATAAAATTACTCACAACTTCACAAGAGAATCTTCGTCAAATTAGACGGCTACATCCCGATATTTAATGTAAAAAAGTACCAAGCATATAAAAGAGTGCGACTAACAACGAGATACAATACTGCTCGTGACTTTGAGCGTTTTTTTTTACAATTCCTATACCGTTGAACAAGTTCTGTGCTAATAAAGTAATAATGTATTACAAAATCATCTTGTAAACTTGATTGAACTCCAACTACGGTCAATCCAAGCCCATAGGCCTCAATTCTCTTACCAAAATGTATGCAAGTTTTTTTTCGGACAATTACCTCGGACTATCATGACCTTGTTATATCGTGGGATAAATTTCTGTCTAAAAGTCAATCCATTTAGCTATAAAAGAGACCCACTTTTTCGAACACCTAATCTAAATGTTGCTTACACTATTTTGCAACATGAAATTGCTCTAATATTATAGCTAATGCTAAGGAAACAAGTGACTTGCACGCCTTTGCTAATGCCAAGGAAACGTCGTGTGCTTCAGCGGCTCTGCAGACGACGCTTGTTGGTTGTCGGAGGCACAATGCCAACAGCGAGAGCGACTGCAGCTCTTTATACTAAATATATCGCGCACCACCTGCATGTGCTAGCATAGAACACTGCTTCTTAGTTTCTGGCTCTAAAAGGGTTTGCGATGCTTATCCTAAAGGTCGAGATTGCTATTAAATAATTAGGGTATGTAAGCTCCGAATAAATATTTTTGTTCTATTTTTACGTGCCGTCAATGGATGAGGCTCAAGTCTTGACTTTTCACTCACCCTGTAATTTCAAAATTTTTCGTAGTTACAAACAAATTGAAAATTAGCCAATATTCCTCTTAAGTGGTCGAGTATACATTTTCAAAAAGTTGATAAGTATAAGAAGTAAATTTGCACATAATGTAATTTTTACCGTTCGTTAATCGGTTAAATTTCTTTGAGCCACAGGAAGACGTCCCTCGTCGTGGGGGTGTACGGCTGACACTGACAGCACGTCAGTGTGTCGTGTGCCGTTGTCTGAGTTGTGTCGTGTGTGCTCACTGCGAGCGCCGGCCCGCCCTGTGGTGCGGTTGTCTGCGCTCATTTCTTCGATGTTAAATGAGGACGAATTCCCCAATGCACTCGCATTACTGAAATACTAACAATGATGCATGATTTATGGTGTGGATATATGTATGATTAAAAGGCAATATAATTGATATAATATGAAGAAAGGTCGTATTTGCGACAGTTGAAAAATTTTTTAAAAGCGTGAAATAACGAAAGTCAAGAGCCGCTGAAAGATGGTTAGCAATGGGGATTAAATGAGGCGCTGTAATGCGGAGCGGCGACGTGGCGAATGCCGTGTAGTTGCAGTGGCCGTGTAGTTGCAGTGGCCGTGTAGTTGCAGTGGCCGTGTAGTTGCAGTGGCCGTGTAGTTGCAGTGGCCGTGTAGTTGCGGGAAGTGGACTTGGTATCCTTGGTAGTATACCACGGTTAATGCTGATCTCTATCAAGATCAATAATTAGGAAACATTTTCGCTATCACATTGTCAACTATAAACATCGTTAGGCTTATTAAACAAAACAAAAAAATTATTAATAAACAAATTATCGGGTCTTCAATCGAACCTGTATGATAGAACAACAAATTATGCCATCATACACTAATATAATATTTCAATATTTACCGTTACCATAAACAAGCCGCCATCGTGGCGAGCGCCGCGGGGCCAAATATTATTTAGTCGGCTTCCGCTGAGAAGTCTGGCGTCGTGTGCGGTGGCGGCACCTGTTGGGTCGTTCCGTTGTTAGTTCAGCAACATCGTGGTGCTTTTGTACTGCCATATAGTGATTATATTCATGTATTATTTTGGAGAAGTAGTGTGCCATCGATTATCTTCTATTTCTTTAGAAATTAAATTTCGTGAATGGATCTTGTTCGTTCAACTGCCATGAAATGCCGAGCGTAGAGGGAAAGCAGTTATTAGACGACCCTTGACAGACTGCTGCCTTGACTGACTGCTGCCTTGACAGACTGCTGCCTTGGCAGACTGCTGCCTTGACTGACTGCTGCCTTGACTGACTGCTGCCTTGACAGACTGCTGCCTTGACATCATTGGCTAAACTGTTCATTGGCTAAACTGTTCATTGGCTAAACTGTTCATGGGCTGTGCCCGGTGAAGCTTAACAGCTGCCGTAGCTATTCGATGATCGTTTCCCAGATACTTGAGAACAATTTCACTATGTTGTTGTTATCTGAGATCCTGACGTTGATTTATACGTGGTCCGAATTTCATTTTTATATCAAATAGCAGGCACCTGATTCCTCCCGCATTTCGTAGTTTGTTTTCACCCGCAGTTAGCAGGTTTGCCGTGCAATATAAATGACCGTAAACGAACCGACGGTTCACGAGTCCTAGGAACTTTTGTGACGCGCGTGACGAGGGACGAATGTATGCGCGAGCACACCTCCCTGTCATATTCGTCTGTCACGTCGCGGTTTGTGACGTGTCACGCTGGTATTGCAGCTGTTTACAGGTTATGATGTTAGTGGTGTGGATGTTGTCTTGGTTGTGGTGAATGTTGCTGCGGTGGTGGTGAATGTTGTGGTGGAGTGTTGTTTTTGTTTTTGTCTCGGTGATTATGAGGAAATTCATCATTACTTACCTAGCTGAAATGGTATAGACTCTAGGTATTTGTTTTAACGTCCATTTATTGACTTCATACGAAGGAAAAGTATGTTTTAAGAGTGCGGTGTTCAAGAATGGGTGATGGTTGGCTGGTTCCTGCCATAATTAAAACCTTGAAGGCAGGTTGCTTCTATGTTTTTTAACTAAAAAATTATAATATTCAAAAGTGAAAATTGGGATTCATTCATTCATTTCATCCCAGATTGACATTTGAACACCGAGTAGCAGCTGCCTGGAATAACGGTATTAATGATTATCATTAATTATATTTATTATGATTACATTTATTAATGACTTTCTGTATTCTTTGATTTGTATGACTGACGTTTGCATTGCGGTATATTGTTTATTATACTACGAAGTTAAATTCATTTCTACACCTTCAGAGAGTTTGACCAAAGTTAGGACTTTACATTTTTTTGTAAACTAATATGACGACGATTTCGAAGTTGAGTATCTTGTCGATTAAATTAAGTAAATGTATTATTTTCATTGTTTTTTGCTCTGATGATTCGTTATTGCACGAATGACACCACAAAAATCATTTCTATCAATTCGTATCTCTCAAATCTATTTCTGATTTTCTACAGCGGCAAAATCTATTTTCTTCAGTTTTCTCCGTTCAACTTCCCAACCATCTCATTAATTTCCACAAGTTACCTAAAATTATTCTTCATACAAAATGTGTTCCATGACACTGAGCTTTAAAACCTCATGTGGTGGTTTTATTAATTGTGATTAGTTAGAACCTCTATATTTGCGCAATCTTTGATTATTCAATCCACTGTCCCGAATTTTGGACTATCCAGAATTAAATTTTATTTGCTTATACAGAATCCAATTATTTCGTTCTAGGGATCCTCGACAAACTTTTTTTTCATTTCTATATGCCTCCTTTACTTTATTTTTACGCCACCCTTACGTCATCTTTACGTCATCCTGCCGTTATATTTACGTCATCCTGCCGTTATATTTACGTCATCCTGCCGTTATATTTTCACGTCCAACCATGCACACCCCGAACACAGGACACCGGATGGACGATTGGACGTCTGGACTTTTCAGTCCATCGCTCGGGATCCTGCCGGTTGAAAGATAAAATATTTTGAATGTCATTAAAAATAAATTCCAAAAGAAATGTTTATAATAGACGTTTAACAAGTTTCATTTTCTTCTGAAGTTTGAAATAATAAATAAGTAAGTTATTTGAATTATTTCATTTGCAGGGTGCTGACTACTTGAAAACTTAACACGATGGTGCTGATGGTGGTGGTGTGAGTGTTGTGAGGGTAGTGAATGTTTTGGTGGTGGTGTGAATGTTTTGGTAGTGTGAATGTTTTTATATTGTTGAATGTTTTTATATTGTTGAATGTTTTTATATTGTTGAATGTTTTTTTATTGTTGAATGTTTTTATATTGTTGAATGTTTTGGTGGTGGTGGTGGTGTGGAGGTTTTGGTGGTGATGTGAGTGTGGAGATGTTGGTGCTGGGGTCGTGGGCGAGCCCAGTTCCTCCAGCAGGAAATGTGTAACGTGTAGCGGGTGTCCCAGACAGACGGGGCGGGGGCTGCGCTATTGTTCAAGTCATCCTTGAGTCACCGCGCCGTTCCTGCCATGTTCACCTCGACTCATCAGCTCACCTACAGCTGACTTATGTCATGAATACCTTAGACATGAGTCTGCGTGACGAGTGTGGTGACACGTCATCATCCACGCAATATTGCCGTGGGTCTGCGTGATGCGTGTGGTGACGTGACACGTCATCTTACACGCAATATTGCCACCGTCTCATCGTCTCTCCAGTTTACGTAGGCGTTGCCCGGCGGTCGTCCGAGAGCGACGTAAAATAATGCTATTTATTTTAATTGGCTGCCTTTGTTAACTATATAGAAAATAACCGCTCTGTGAGCAGTATCAGGATACATTGTTGAGCTATGCGTCTAAGCTAACCCGATACGCGTGTACAAAGAGTACAGCAGGTACCTGATACTTCGCACTGTAAAACTGTATTACTCTTCAATACACTGTGTATGGTGTTTCCAATGCTAAAATACTCTTCAACACACTGTGTATGGTGTTTCCAATGCTAAAAGTGATTGTGTGCTTTCGATTAAAAGTATTTTTAAGTGTTCTTCAGTATACACGTGGTGTATTGCCGAACTTGTACATTAATTAGTTTCTTATTTACACTGTACTACATTATTCTCGCGTAGAATATTCAGTGCACACATAACATATAAGTTTGCGGGCATAATAAATGTCATGCCACGTACGATTAGTGGCGCGTGCGGTTCTTGTGTGCCTCTGAGGACCTTGCGCTGACTCCTGCAGCAGATGAGGCATGGCCCAGCGACCTGACACCTCGTCAGCAGAACGGCCCTAAGGGACGCTCTTGGCTGGAGACCGGCCTGCTGGGGCTATGGAGGTGCCAGCCGTACTGTAGAGTCCTTACAGGGAAGTCCTGGCCTTGTTTGTTTACACTCCGATGAAAGCTTGTTGTTACTATTTATTACTATTTTATTACTATTTTGGTACTTTTGCGCTGCGCAATTTCCTTAGTGCGGAGCAAAGTGTTTGGTTATTGCCTCTCCCCGTTCTATCACGCGCATCTCAAAACGCGATCAGTGAAACTCAATCTTTTATTCATGAGTGAGACCACGAATTTATTCATGAATCCAAATACAAATTTCTCAACATTAAATATTTGTGTTAAGTTCTCATTCATTTGTATTGTCTAATTGGCATCCGACTTTAAACTAAGTAAATTAGCCCATTGTTTCATGGCTGGCATTGTTTCAGGACTGCCAAGCCCTTACGCGACTTTCAAGCTAACTGTCCTGTTCAACTGAACGCGCTGTGACCATATCGTTACAGTTAACTGTCCTGTTCAACTGAACGCGCTGTGACCACATCGTGACAGTTAACTGTCCCGTTCAACTGAACGCGCTGTGACCACATCACTGTGACCACATCGTTACAGTTAACTGTCCTGTTCAACTGAACGCGCTGTGACCACATCGTTACAGTTAACTATCCTGTTCAACTGAACGCACTATGACCACATCGTTACAGTTAACTGTCCTGTTCAACTGAATGCACTGTGACCACATTGTTACAGGGTTGTAAGGCTGCAGGTCTTATAAAAGAACTTCCGTCTACAGCAAAGCGAATGACATATTTATCTTGCTTATAATGCGGTGCATGTGGATGCCTGGGGCTAATTTAATCTTACGTATATATGTATTATATACTAATAAGCTATATATACATATGTCAAAGTTTGTTTGTGTTTGAAGCCTGCGACACTAAATAATGCTATTTATTTTAATTATTGTATAGAGAGAATGAACGCTCTGTGTGCAGTGTCTGGATACTATGGCATCTCATTGGGCGCGTATCCGATATACTTATCGTGTCGGGATATTACCTGGATATGAAAACTCGTGAATTGTGGGAGATTGTTGCAACAATGCAAAACTGGGAGAAAAGACGTGGATCAAAAATTTAAATTTGATTTTGTATTGGTTAAATTAATTTAGGTTTACGTACTTAATTCGGAAGATGCAAAAAAGTTTTCATACTTAGAAACGAGAGTGGAATGGTAGATCAATTTTTCAATGTAAAATTCGGGTTTGAACATTTTTTCACGAGCTTAGTGGCAACAGCACTACCGGCATTCAGGATAACGATATCATGAAGAAATTATATCAAGCTGAGACAAAGTCTGATTAATTAGCTAATTGACACTATATTTATAGTGCGAAACATCGCTCACGAAGTATAAATTAGTGTCCGTTGAGGATGCCACGTGCCACTTGTGGCTGCATGACGCCGAGTGGCATCCACGTCTGTTCAGGGGATGATAAAAAGAAGGTGCATGAGCTTGAGTCTCCTGCCACTTGCCTTCAAGATCTTGTCCGACGTCGGCTATCCCGAGGAGAAGTAACTTATCTTAGCAGGATCTGTTCTATAAAACTTGCTAAGTAGATGTTGCGGCAAGTTTTTCGCCTGTGATTGGTGGGCTTGGATTGAACAGCCGCCATTGATGGCCTGACGAATTTACGGAATCGTAATTTTTTAACAGCACGGCTCAAAATAAGGCGCTAAATAATGCAAGCTTGACGCTGAGCATAAGAAAACACTGGTTGCACGCAGCACGATGATCGTAAGCAGCAGGATGATCGCAAGCAGCACGATGATCGCAAGCAGCACGATGATCGCAAGCAGCACGATGATCGCAAGCAGCACGATGATCGCAAGCAGCACGATGATCGCAAGCAGCACGATGATCGCAAGCAGCACGATGATCGCAAGCAGCACGATGATCGCAAGCAGCACGATGATCGCAAGCAGCACGATGATCGCAAGCAGCACGATGATCGCAAGCAGCACGATGATCGCAAGCAGCACGATGATCGCAAGCAGCACGATGATCGCAAGCAGCACGATGATCGCAAGCAGCACGATGATCGCAAGCAGCACGATGATCGCAAGCAGCACGATGATCGCAAGCAGCACGATGATCGCAAGCAGCACGATGATCGCAAGCAGCACGATGATCGCAAGCAGCACGATGATCGCAAGCAGCACGATGATCGCAAGCAGCACGATGATCGCAAGCAGCACGATGATCGCAAGCAGCACGATGATCGCAAGCAGCACGATGATCGCAAGCAGCACGATGATCGCAAGCAGCACGATGATCGCAAGCAGCACGATGATCGCAAGCAGCACGATGATCGCAAGCAGCACGATGATCGCAAGCAGCACGATGATCGCAAGCAGCACGATGATCGCAAGCAGCACGATGATCGCAAGCAGCACGATGATCGCAAGCAGCACGATGANAGCGGGTGATGGCTGCACGCTGACGTCACCCGGACCCCTTCTCGGAGCGGGTGATGGCTGCACGCTGACGTCACCCGGACCCCTTCTCGCAGCGGGTGACTACTGCACGCTGACGTCACCCGGACCCCTTGTCGAAGCGGGTGACTGCTGCTCGCTGAACTATTACGAATGTCCTGCCTGTTACGGGTGCCGAGTCGCTGACCTTGTGGGCATCTTGCGTGACTTTTGTATTCCTCTCTTGCCTCTTCAAGTTTTTGTTTCATGTTTAGTGTGTCGAGTGCAAGGGGCGTCTGAGGCGCCCTTTGTGCAGACGCTGCGAGGGCGGGCGACGTGGATTTCTTAAGTGCCAACAGAGGCTCGCTTATGCATTGCATTAAATCCTCTCCAAAATGCATGTAATTTGTTATGATTATAAGTCGCCAGGTCACGAAAAGGAGTCAGCAGGTTTTGGTTTGATCGTGAGAAGCTCGGCCACAAAGCTGGCTGCCATTCGTCATTAATTTCATTTCAAGGTCAATTATTCAAATTAAGTAAGTAATCTAGTAGCAGTTGTCATTGGAACGAGTCACTTCAAAGTGAGTTGTTCGTCTTATGATAAACATGCCCTGAAGCTTAGAATAATTAAATAAATATAACTGAAAATTTGTCGTGCCGTGGGTTTCCGTTCACATGCCAAAGGAAGTTCATTGTAGTAACCGTTTGAGTTCTGCTAGAACTCCTACGACCTGCTCTGACTCCTACGACATGCTCTGACTCCTACGACCTGCTCTGACTCCTACGACCTGCTCTGACTCCTGCGACCTGCTCTGACTCCTACGACCTGCTCTGACTCCTACGACCTGCTCTGACTCCTACGACCTGCTCTGACTCCTACGACCTGCTCTGACTCCTACGACCTGCTCTGACTC